TTTTTTTTTTTTTTTTTTTTTTTTTTTTTTTTTACAATGGGCCTTTTTTGAGCCCAGACCCAGGGCTACATCCCCAACAGATCCTGCTTTAATCTGCTCCTACATCAGATGCAATTATGAAATGTTTATAAAAGTGTGTCTGAGGCTCACAATTATTTATTTTTGTAATCTAACAACTGATTCTGTGATAAGAAATCCTTATTAATACATGAAATTTCAATATTCAACATTTATATATATATTATATTTAGTCTTTCACTAATTTTTAACAAAGCCAATATAAAGACAAAACTTGTTATACTTTGTAACACTGGGTATTCATAATGATATGAGCTGGTTTTTATTTGTGGGTCCTTTTGAATTATAATGTGGAATTCTTCCCCAACATCATGAAGTACAGAGAAGTATCCTACAGTAAGAATAACTTCCATCTTCCATTTTGCTCGAATTTGATGTCCACTTGCTCTTCCTATCAATCCCTCTTCTTTTTTCATCTATAGAAGTAATTTCCCATCTTTCATTCAAAAAAATCAAGTTCAACAATTGCAGTTGTGAAACCAGTGTAGGGTTTTCCACCAATAAGCCTGTGGACTGGTGGGAGATTCCTCAAATAATGAGCTTGTTTTCTCATTTGGGATAAATGGAATATTCCCAGCTGTTGATTCCTTACAGGGTCAGCTGTAATGACCATACTTCCTATAACTGTGACAGTTACTTCTTTGTAGTGTTTTCTGAAAGGAGTTCTTATTCCATACAGACTTTACAGTCCCTCAGAATATGTTCTTATAAGATACACTTGAAACACCTATTTCTTTGTGATCTATTTTCTGTGTTCTGTTTAAGGGGTGTTGCAAAATAAATCATACTTTTTACCCCGAGAGCATAACAAAGTAAAATAAGATTTTAATTCAATCCAAAAAAGTAATTCCAAGTATCAATATCACTTGATTGGGCCACTATTGTTCTCACGCGTGAGTTTGAATCACTTTGCAAAAGATTTCAGCAATGCAACTGTTTTTG